ACTTCTTATTCTTAAATCAATTATAAAAGATATTAGTAAAAAGAATAATTTTTGTTTTATAATTAGAATAAATTAGAATAGAACTATTACTAATCTTAACTTTAATTTATTAAATACTTTTTGTTATTAGTTATATTATTTATATTTGATATTAATATATAATAGTTAATTTAAAAGTTAAACTATAGTAGAAAATTTTTTTATAAATTTTCTATAATATCTAGCAAGTTCTAAAAATAAATAAAGTTAAATTATATTTTTAGAAAATAAGATATTCTGCATAGCTACAATCTTTTTAAATTTAAAAAAAAATTTTAACTTTTATAATATATTTTAAGAAAATAATTATTTTATTCAAAAAATATTTTTTTTTAAGTTACATTTAAATTTAACTTTTTTGATTCTTTTTTATTATTATTATTATTAAAATAATTTATATTTCTGAATAGATTTTATTAGTTTAATATATAAGATTACATATAAGTAATCTCTTATAATTTGTAATTATATGAAGAATATATAATAAACTACATATATAACTTTAGTCATTGTCTATATTAAGTAGTTTACTATATAGATATTAAACTATCTGATTAATTCTACACTATATCTGTAACCTACCTATAGGTTATTTATTTAAATATTTTATTTAACTAATCTACTATTACAAACTAATATCACTATAACACCTAATTACTTGGTGTTTATGCTATAAACTCTTGACTAGTACTACACTATTTGAAGAATTTAGTCATACTAAAACATTTAAACGAATAGCAAATATTAATTTCACATTTCCTGATCATTTGTCATTTGAGGATTGTGACTTGATTAGTTCACTTTAAATACTTTTTTTTAAGTTTTTGACTATAAATACACACATAGTTACTACAACGTGACCCGAAGCAACGTCTACCTTTGAAAGATGTCTTAAAACATCCATGGATTCAAAAATACAAGAAAACTCGCGAATAAATTACTATATTTGTTAAAATTACTGTAAACTGAGAATACAAAAGTCATCTTGCAAATTCATAATACAATGTGCATTACGATTAAGTGACGTGTTTTTTAAACTGGGCAAATTATAAATCAAATTATAAATCAATTTTTCTTATTAGTTTCACTGAGTAACTGATTATTACCGTATGTAATAATAAGATAGATAAACACTTTGTTTCTCAGTAAAAGTTTCACTTAATTTGCTTCGTATAACCGTCCTAAATTTGTATTTGTTTCAATTAAAGAATGTTAAGTTTTTATCCATCCTCTTGGTCGGAATACTTTTTCTATCGGCCAAGTAATTGATTAATGTGAACATAATCCTTCTTTAACATTTATATGAACCATTTTTTTAGTTTAAAACAACTTATTTGCTAGCTGATATCTTTGTTGATTTGCATAATTTTATTGTGAAACAAAATGGTAAACGCAACAGATTATTTGAATAAGAATTACCCGAAAGGAAACAGAAGTCAAATAATTGAATTAGACATTAGTAATAAAAGTCTAGAAGGCGTCTTTAATTCAACTGATTTCCTTGGATTGAAAATAGTAAATTGCTCTTTTAATAAATTATATAGTTATTTTTGGGGTTGGAGGAGTTCGATAGAAATCTTTGATTGTTCTTATAACTTGTTTCAAGGAGATTGGCTATTCATAATTATATGAGCGGCATTAACGTCACCCAGAACGTTATTACTCACTTTGATGTTAGCAATAATGCAATTGTCGAGTTGGATTTAAGTAAAAGTGGAAACTTACAAATATTGAACTGTTCAACTAACCCACTTACTAAATTAGTTTTACCTGATTTTTTTGACCCTATTTCTTTTGATTGTAGTAATACTCACCTTAATAAGGTAGAGACTAATTCTTTCATATTTGATTGTCAGACTGGTACTAAATTTACTAAAGGAACTACTACTCTTCTTGCATCCTCCACTACTTCCTTGAATAATGGCACAATAGTTGGAATAGTACTTGGTATAATAGGTTTTATTGTTTTGTGCATTGGATTATTTCTTGTAAGCAGGTTTGTAAGCAGACGACGCTTATTAACTAAATTTGTAATTTAAAAAATGAATTTAAAATTATTAAATGTGTCACTTTATATATACTGTATATATAAGTTTATATATGTATTTTTAGTGTTGGCATTCTATTATTCTATTCGCGATCCAAGATATTCGATAGCAAACACTGTATATTTTATAATGATAAAAGTTAAATTTTAATATTTAATAATTAAGACTTTCTCTTAAATGAACATGAATTTTCATTTTGTAAAACAAATTAATTAGCTGCAACTACATACAGTATTTCATTATTTGAACATAACTTTTAATTGAATAATTTTAAAAGTATTCTATTTAAAGAAGTATTCTATTTTAAAACTTTTTGTCAATTTCTTGTAGAGGTTGGACCCGCTGAGAAAATCTGTGTTATTAAATTACCCAATCCTTAATTTCTTGGTGGTGAATAAGTAGTCGAAATTGCTGATGCTGTTGGGATTCTGTTTTTGACTATTGATGGACGATTAATTTCATCTTTTATATTCACTGAGGCTTCAATAATTCTATCGATAATAGATCTCATTTCAACAGCATTTTTTAGGAATCCTTCAGCAATATGTGGAGCGAATAAAAAGTTCTGTCAAATAAATCTAGTGCTGCTAGTGATGAAACAGTTACATGATCACGTATCACTTGGATTTCTAAAATGGGAATCTTTTTAAGCTTTTGACTTATAGATTTCGCTATTAAACTACTATCTTTTCTTCCATTAAAAAAAATTATCGTAACGTTCGTCAAAGCAGTCTTTACATATGTGGGTTAACTTCTTCTAATCATCTATTTCTTTACCATTTTGCGGAAATAAGCGCGAAACTTCAATAAGAATAAATTCACTTTCTTTATGTCAAGTTTTACAAAAACTTGTCGGGTTTTTTTTTCAGAATTTGAGAGTCGGGTATTATGACGCACCTAAGAGTTGCTTATATAAAACTTCAGAAAAAATAAATTTATTCTTAAAATTTATTGAAATAGATTACTCATCGAATTAACTATCTGCCAATAAAATTTTTTTGAAATACGTATAAGCTTTCAAAATCTACTGTTTTTTACATTTGGGGGTATTATGACGCACATCGGATACGTATATAAATTATTTAATATAATAACAAAATAAAAATAAGATGATGTCGAAAAGAACAACGTATATACTTATCTATTATAGCTCACCGAAACTGGGATCTTGGTTTTAATAATAAAAATAATATTTGGAAGTTAATATATGTAATCAAATGTGTAATTTTGGCATCACTCAAATACGCCTCACCAAAAATGAATCGAAAGACAAAAGGATCGGGCATGGACGATTTTATACCATCGATTTGTCCTAGTGATAAATATCGAATGATGTAAAATTGTTCATATATTGCTTGGCAACATCAATCACCGAATAATAATCTATTCACATGCATAACTTCGCCACAAAACCCACACTTACTTTATATATATACACTGAATGATTTTAGAAACTTGGGTACCCACGCACATGCAGGTGACCTGAAAATAACCACTCAGGTTATTTGAGTTTAACTAAATAAATAGGGAAATTAATTGATTACAAATAAATTAAAATTAATCGCACAATTGGTGTATAACACTTCATCATAAAAGATAACGATAACTCAAAATTTATATATATATATTTTTTGGTAAAACTATATAATTTGAACTAACCTAAAAAAAATTAACAAATTTTAGAAATTCATTACTTGTTTGAACACACTGCGTGGTTTATTGTTTTTGTTAAAAAACATTTTTATTAATTATTAAAAAAAAGTAAACTACTTCATAAAAAGTATTATTTAGTCATTATATTATCATAGTTTAAATTTTTATCTAATTTATCTATTAAAGGGTTTGCTATACAATAACAAAAAAATTCATACGTAGTAAGGAGACCCGCATCTGGTTACCAGACTGCTTTTAGAAATCTATTAAATCTATCTACGAACAATCAGTTGATATTTTATAAAGTGACTCATTTATTCAGGTTAAATTAAACATTTTTAGAAATTATTCTCACGATTTTATCATTAGATTATACTTTTATCATAGTAAAGACCCTGACTTAAAACACAAATTCATTAACTTAATTACTCATTTCTTTACATAGAATTGCATTATTCCAGTTATTCAGTATATATCGTGATTAGATTATCATATGAGCAGGTACCCGTTCCATTGAATTTAAGGTATAGGTAGCACAAAAATTGCAAAGTATAAAAAAACTTTATAACCGGGTCTCGGCAAAATATATCTGACTTATTTAATTTTTTTTTTTTTTTTTTTTTAAATTCTCATTTTTAATTCTCTGAAATGGAGTCTGTTTCTACCCAAGTCTCTCAACCTCTTTTGAATTCTAAACAAAAACCACTTTCCTATCAAAGTGTGGGGGACAATGAGGTTGATGAGAAATGTTTATCCCAGTGGGATATGATAAAGTTGACACTTTGTATGGCCGGCTTACAATTCGCATGTAAGTAGTTTATCATGAAATGTGCTTCAAAGAACGTTTAAAAATAGTGAATTTATTTTACTATTGTTGTTG